ATTTTTTATTGAAATCAAAAAATCATTTACCTGATGATGAATCAAATGATTTTGAATTTTGACAATTAACAACATGAATAGGCATACATAAACGTAATAATGATTCCCAAGCAAGACCTGGTGCACAAATCGATCGATAATCTCGTCCATCAATACATACATGATAGATACGACAATCTTGTGTATCACCAAAATAACCATCAACTATATCAAAAAAAACAAAATTTAATTTATTCAAGTTAAAAAAATTTTCATTCATTTACCAATACAACTAAATTGATTTATTCGTTGTTTTTTAATGACTTCTTCTGAAAATATTGAATTAACATCAAATGTATCTGACGATGCATCTAAATATAGAAAAGCAAAAACAAAAAAAAACGACAAGTTTTCAAATGGTTATAAATAATAGTAATTTCTATACGTCTATCATCATTAAAAATATCTAGATTCTCTAATAACATCAAAAAAACAAAACATATGCGACATAATTTACCTTTACATTAAAAAAGGATGTTTTATATAGATTTGTTTGACAAAAAAAAACAAAATCATTTAAACTTACATGGAGACATTGTTGTTGTTGTTGTTGGTGGTGGTGGTGGTGGTGGTAATAATAATTCTGGTTTATTACCATGACATTCTGCTTGTTCATATGGTACACATGTTTTTGTAATACGATCAAAAAGAAAAGTATATGGACATGTTCGTTGTTCTAAATGTCCATCAACACATTGAACATATTGAGAACATATCATTGGATCAGCAAAACGCATTTGACTTGAATAATTTGCAGGACATGAATTTTGACCTATGAAAATCATTCAATAATAAATAATCAAATGATAAATAAATATATACATACATTCAGGTACTTCATGAGGCCAAGCACAATTTTCTAATCCTAGAAAAAATGTTTCGTTTTATTTTTTTTTTAATAAATGGTTTTAGATTAATAATAAAACTTTACTTGAACTCCAAACACGACCAGCTGAACAAAGTAATGATTCACTACGAATTCGAATTCCTATATTTTAATTAAAAAACAAAAAATCGTTTTTTTTTTATTTTTTCATTTACAAAATATATCTTTTCTTTAGTTACCATCACAATAATGAAATGCTGAACAATCATAAGGATCAGGAAAATAACCTGAACTACCTAATGCACATTCAATTGATGAATAAGGTGGTGCAATTTGTCCTTCACCTAAAATTAAATTGAAACAATAAAAATAAAAGTAATCTATTCGAAATAAATAATTTATTTACATTCAGCATCTTTTGGCCAAACACATCCACTAGCACTTGCTGAAAAATGTAAACCAGGATTGCAAAAATGTGTTGAATGAAGTACGCCAAGAACACACCAATGATAAATTATACATGAACTTGGATCAGCAAATAATCCATTAGCACCTGGTCGACATGTATAATTTCCTTTTAATGTTTTCGACATCATTGTTGCTGTTGTTGTTGTTGTTGATGTTGTTGTTGTCGTTGTTATTATTAAATCTAAATTCAAAATTATTATTTTGTAAACTAATTATTAAAAATTCTACCTTCATCTCGAATCCATTTTTTTCGATCACCAGTACATTTTGTAATATTTTGCATACCACAACCAATCTTTATTTCATCCCATAACATTCCTTCTTTACACCAACGAACTGATTGTGTACCACTATAACAAACATGAAATTTTCGACAATCATCTTTATCAGGAAAAAATCCATCATCTAAATTTTTTGAAATAAAAATTTTATTATTATTATTATTATATAAAAATAATTTACCAGTGCAATGTGATCCAACTTCAGACATATATTGCATGTTAGATAATTTTTCTTGAAGTGTATCTATTAAAAAAAAAAAGAATAATAAATGAATTAATTAGATATTATCAAACATTAATTTTGTATGTATTTACATTTTGCAAGTTTTTTCACTAATATTGTTGAATTCTGTTTTGGTGGTAGAATTGTTGTACTATTTGTTTGATTAATAAATAAACCAAATGTTCCATTGATTATATGGAAAATAAGGAATACTATACAGAAAAAAAAAAGAATTATAGATCATATGTATGAATAGTTGTACTTACAAAGTGTTAAGCCAGTGTGAACAGCCATCTTCTTTTTGTAATGCGAATGAATTGAATGAAAGAATTCGTTGTAGGATGTGGCTATTTATTCATTGTCGATAGACACCTCAAAAGACATAAGTCAAACATGTTTTATCCTATTAATATTAAACAAAAGATTAAAACAAAGGCGAGACTATCTTAATAAGCTGTAAATAGAACAAATGTAAGTAAAAATTAGTAAACTTGTCACATCGTCAAGTAAGCCATTCTTGTTATTATTCAATTAGATTTAAATGAACTAACAAAATAAATATAATACAAATATTAGACAACTTCTTTAGACTGATATTTTTTAAGCATATAAAACAAATATATAAGGATCATACAAACTTTCAATTGGAGATTAATGTAAGTTTAATAGAGAATATTAATGACAGTACAAGAATTGATTCAGTACAAGAGAAATAAATAATGTATAAGTGAAGATAAGATTCAATAAACGTTATTTTATTTTATTTTTTGTCATTTTTCAGCATGAATTACATTTTATACATTGACTAATTACAATACTGTTTGTTCTCATAGAAGATTGACTAGTTCAATTGTATGTATTGATAATTAATAATTCGAGGAAAATAAGATCTTTAATTACTTTTTTTGTGAATTTATTTTAAGGAATGGTGTGAAAGTTATGTTTCTTCATTCAATCACGAAAATTTCTATCAATAATAAGATTTTTAGCAATCGACACATTGGTATCTTCGAAATTCATTGATTTCCAGACTTATAAAATCATCTTGATTGATAATAGAAGGTATTCAATAAGGACATTATTATTGTGAAGGACATATATTGTCTAGGTAGTGATCGATAAAATTTCAGAAGGCGATGCAGTCAATCAACCAATTTCAAATGGAGTACGATCAAATTTACTGTTTCTAGACCTATTAGTGCAATTGCTTTCGTTCAAGCTTTATTTTTGAATCCTCCAAAGATTCACTCATAATTTCTAGCTTATGAGTTTCGCAAAAAATTTCGAACATAAAGGGTGTCACGTGACTTCTGATATTCCCTCATCAAATTTTTTTTTTCTTACATGTTTCCGCATTCGAAGAGACTGATATTTTCAGTATTTATACCAGATGTCTAGATCTATTCTATATTAGAATTTCATGTTTCTACTTATTTCTATTACAGTGATTCAAGTATTACTAAAAATAAGAAAAAAAAAGTCGAAATATTATCAGGAATATTTGATTGTAATGCAATATGAATAGTTCTGCTCGAAAAGACATTTACAAGTCGAAATTCAATTTATACAAACAATAAAAAACATTCATCAATGACTATGTATTTGTTCTCCATTTTGATCTATCAATAGTTTCCATCATTTCTTGACATTTTTCCACAATGATGCTTGTATCATTGTAATAGAAATAAGTAGAAACGTGAAATTCTAGTATAGAATAGATCTAGACATCTAGTATAAATAGTGAAAATATCAATCTCTTCGAATGCAGAAACATGTAAGAAAAAAAATATTTGACTAAGAGGATCAGAACTTATGTGACACCCTTTAGTATTGTTTGTTATCGTTCTACAGGAGAAAATATCAAAGTTCTTTTTTTTTTTATCAAAAACTTGCACGGAAAATAACAAATTTCACCAATAATAGTAAATTTTTATCAATACGTTAGAAAGTAAACATTTGTGTTACCTATACAATGAAAATTGTCAAGAAAATTTCAATTAAATCATACTACAGAGGTCGATACTTTCATATACAATCAATTGAATTTGACCACTCTCTTTGCTTACATTTCTTACTATCCAATAGAATCGTATCACATCGAAACAATAATTAATGAACACTATTGTTTCCATCAAATATATATATGTATATGTAAAGTAACGGACTATTCAAACAGAAAAACTTATTTATATTCTGTCTCCTTCAACGATTAAATTCAATTTATAACAACAATATTGAATTTTTTGGTAAGTTAAATCATTTTTATAATTGAACTTTTCTTCTTTATTTGTTTCATTTGTTTCTTCTTCTCGATATTTCTCTATGTTAGTTGATTTTTCTTTTTCTTCATACGATTAAAAATTCTTAATAATTTCTTCGAGAAAGAATTTTAAGAGATATTTTCTAGAAAAGATAAATGAAAATTAAAATCGAATGTCATGTCGTATTTCAATTAAGTCAAAGAATAAAACTTAATTTCAGATAGAATAAATAATTAAACATTTTATCGATTATTTATAGTTTAGGTTCGAACTTTTAATTGAAAAACTTTAGATAAATAATTTTTGTCATTTCTATATGAAAATTTCTCATCATCAATAGCTTACGTTTAGATAATAAAACTAATCTTTGATATAATGAATCAATGTTAAAGAAGTATTTTACATTTAATCATATATATTGATTTATAAAATTTTTATGAAAATTTATATTAAGAATTAGAGAAATTAAAAGAAAAAAAGATGAAGTTCTATTAGACACTTTCGAATGTTCAATAAAATTGAGAAAAACATAAAACAGAAAATAAGTTCTTAATTTTCTTTTTATTATTGATTTTAATTTCAACAAAATGTGAAAATCTAAAAACGTTTTCTGTAATCCATTGTAGCCAGGACTCGTATATATATAGGCTGAGCTTTTACTTATATAGCCGTCGTTATAATCTCATTTAAATTCGATCCAAAAGATTCCTCTCTCTTTCTCTTATGTTGCCAACATTATTGCATCATCGTCTTGCACTGCTATATGTATGGCAGAAGTGTAGAATGACAACAATATCCATATAATATAAAGACGGAAAACGAAAAAAGAGATTATTCTTAGAACAGCATATGTTTATTTAACGAATAAGACTTCAAAAAACATGTCGTATGTAAATCCACCTACCACATCTTTTCTGAATCGAGGAGTTTGAATAGTCTTCTATTCGTTCAATAGGATATGCTGTTCTACGAATAATCTCCTTTTTCGTTTTCTGTCTTTCAATTGTATAGATATTGTTCTTCTACACATTTGTACCATACCTATAGTGGTGCAGGACGATGATGCAATAATGTTGGCAAGATAAGAAAGAGAGAGGAGTCATTTTGGATCCAATCTAAATGAGATTATAAAGACGGTTATATAAGCAAAAGCTCACTCCATATATATACGAGCCATGATACCAAAGGGTTAATTTGAATATATGATTGTTTTTATTCTCAATGTTTTTGTATTAAACGATTTAAATTCTTGAAAGATGACGATTAGATTAAATAGAATGTCAACAAAATATGAATGTTACTATTAGTCAATTTAAATTGAAGTTGATAGAAAAATGAAGATAATTTAAATAAGTAAGAAAAATAACTGTTTTTTAATAGTTGACCTGTCCATATTATTGTTGAATATGATCGTCAAGAATTGATTATCATTAAGTGATAACATAGTTAGCATTCATCTAATTTTTCTTCTCTCAAATTAATTCGATTACCGACGATAAGGAATCTTATAATATTTATTTATTTTAATAATTTATTGAATTTTTTTCTAAATAAAATTTTGCACGTCAATATAAAATATAGATAAAAAAAAGTTGTTTAGGTTTCAGAGAATAAATCTTTATTGAAAACCCTTGATTATAATGGCAAATAAACTTAACAAATGTTTCGAAGCAAATAAATCGAAATTTTAGAATTTTTATATTTTAGATATTCAACAATCAATCTAACACTGTATTTAAGTGGTAGATACTGAAAAACAATCATGTCAAAACATCGTGAAAATCGAGTTGATTTTAGTAAAAATACTTTTTCTATAAAAATCTTTTGATTTGAAATAATAGAAATAAATAAATATCTATCGTAATATACAGAAGGTAGTTGATTATAAATGATGATTTCACTATTATATTTTCTTATAACTAAAACTTAATAAAATAAAACAGTGACACTTAAAGATTCCCGTCAGAAGTTATACTTAACATTAATTTAAATAAAATATCTAATTATTTTCATACTAGTGTTATCCTACATAAGACAGATCGTGACGAATTAGAAAGTTTCTAAGAAAATTTTTTCAATGATTCGAATCAGTTGTCTTGCAGTTAACCGTGTATTTATTTTTCATAGTTCCTAAGTAGAAAGTTGCTTATTTATATTCTAAGTACGTTTTCATAACACATATTAAAAATTTTTTTCATATATTTCTAGGTTTTTAACAAGTAAAAGGTGATAATCATGGACAGTGGGGATCAAAATAAAGAAAACATAAATGAAGCAATAAAGCTTGCAGAACTCCAACTACAAATCAAACAAGAAGAAACTAAACACAAGGAGATCGAAAGAGACATAGTTTTGGCACAAGAAGAAACTAAACAAAAAGAATTGGAATTTAAATACAACCAATGGAAGGTCCTACAAACACCAGTGAACCAACCAGAAATTAAACAAGGTACAAGACCATTAGGAAAAAAACGACCATATCTTGGCGAAAAATTTACAACAAAACGAATGAAAACGAAAGCTAAAGGATCATCATCATCGACTGATCAAAGTACAACTGCGAGCAACATTCAATCTACAGATACAAGTTCAACATGCAGTAAATCAGCAGCTACAACTTATCAGCCGATGACTTGCTCAAGCGCATCCCGCTTATGTGATATTGCACACAATGATGATTTTTATTGTCAAAAAATGACTAACAACATTATTGAATTTAAAATCCATTCATTATTAAATGATAATCTTTGTTTATTAAATGATGATGATTATAATGATAATATTGAACTATGTATTAAAAATTACTTAGAAGATATTCAAAATTCATTGGATAATTTTCAATCATTTGATACTATGTTAGAAATAATATTACAAACAGCATTTGACAACTTCATGTTTACGTTATTGACATCATTCAAGAATTATACAGTATTGCAATATTTAAATACATCTAATAAACATTATTTAGATGGTTTCAGTCCTGACTGTAGTTACATATTCAAAAATGTTTCAATTAAATCTACGAGTATTGCGAAGGTGTTATCAAATTTTCTTATTTGTTTTGGTGAATTAAAATCATCAACAAATGGTAATATTAAAACTGCTATGATTGGACAAATAGGAAGATATTTATATATGTTAAATAAAACACAAGGTTGGAGAAAAATTTATGCATTTTTATATGATTTTCATACAGTAACATTTTTTTATTGTGAAAAAATGTTGGATAAAGATGATTTACAATATTATCAAAGTGAAACATTAAAATTAATTGAAGATAATCCTGTAAAATGGTCAAATTTTGATGTAATAAAAATAGGTAAAGAATCAAAAGAAATTTATTTTAGTAAAGAAAATTGGAAAATATTTATTAAATTTTTAACAATGGATTGGAAATTTTATGACTATAAAATGTTAAATATAAGTCCATCTGATTATTTACTTGGTGATAGTTATGAAACAACAGACAGATTAGGTAAAGGTGCAACTTCAATTGTTTATTTGTTAAAAATGAAGGAAGAAAAAACAAACAAAAATTCAAAAGACTATGTAATGAAGATTTTACGAAAACACAGATTTTCATGGACTTTTCAACATGAAATGGAAATAATTAAGGAATTAAGAAGAGGAAAATATTATATGTCGCCTGTTTTTCCAGATATTTTGGATTCATGGAGTTCAGGTAAGATTTGTTTAACAAATATAACATTTGAACTTTTTTACCTAATCAAATGAAAAAACCTATCCAAGAAACAAAATAGAATATTTTATTGTCTTGTTTTCCAATGTTTCAAGAAAAAATAGTTAAGATAAAAGAATGTTCTATGAAAGGCTAGAATATAAATTCTTTACCTTCTATTGAATCTTATCGTAAGAATGAAACTTTGATAAAAAAATTAGTTTAATTATAGGTAATTAATGAAGAGAAGATTTGTTTATTGTTATGAATTTTTCTTTAAAATAAAATAAGAAACTCTTCGATATTCATAATGAATGAAATGATTTAAACGAATAGCATGTCGAAAGTCGAATGAAATTGAAGATAAAATATGATTTTTTTTGTCAAAATTTTTATGATTAATTAGTTGAAAAAGATGAATAATTGTTTAAATATCTTTTATTGTTTATTTAAATAATCAGAATATTATAAATGAGAAGAATTTAATTTAAAAAAGTAATACCAATTTTAAATGTCAAAGAAAATGTCAGTTCTGTTTGAAATGAATAAAGACTGAACGTAATCGAAATGTGAGATAAGGAAAAGAAGAATAAATAATAAAGTATTTATGAAAAAAATAGAAATTTCTAATGAAAGAAAAGCATTTTTTTTGTTTGGTTTTTTATTCAAAAAAACTTAAAGCAGGAAATAAAAGTTCTATAAAATGAAAGTGTGTGAAATTATTAAAATTTCATAAAATGAATCTGAAATCTATTTGATTAGAAGAAGAATGAGAAAATAGAATATGAATTCGTATTTTATATTGTATATTTATCTGAATAATTGAAAATATTTGAAATTCGATAAAACATATTCTAAAATTAATTTGTTTTTTGTTTTTCTTTTTAAGAAAATTCTTCAAATTAAAAAGAATAAATTGAAATTAAAATTTAAAGAAAAACAATCTCGAATATAAATGAAATATTATTAGTTGAAGTTTTTCTTTTTTTTCTGAATAATTGGCAAACGTTATTTGAATAACAGAAAACTTTTCTTTTAAATTTCTTTAGTTTTTTACAAATCTAATGTTTTCTATTTCTTAGTTTTTTTACATGGTTTTCTTTTATCTCTCTTAAACATGATTTGTTTTTGAGAAATGTTCAAATATGAGATTAAAATAAATTGGAAAAATTCGTTTTTTATTATAGGAAACAATATTCTTTCATTTTTACTCTGTAGAAAATACGATAAGAAATGATTCATCTATGTTTTAAGTAGTTTGAAGTTTATTTCATGTAAAATTTCTCGACGAAAATATTCGATGTACAGTTCTATTTATAAGATAAATTTTTATATAAACTGGAGATTGAAATCGAATTAGTTTTTTTTTTATAAAAGTATTTTTTTTTATTTGGATGAGAGAAAAACCAAAAAAATTTTTATTTATTCTGTGTTTGAAAGAATCAATAGGAATCGACTCTGGCGATTGAGTTCTTTATAAAATTTCAATGAAATTGTTTTATTTTATTTGACAATCACTAAAGAAACAGGTTTTTCCTTTTATTGCTTTATCATTTATTCATCTTTTTATTTAGAAAGATTTTTGATATTTACTGAAGAATTCCACCATATTGATTCATTTGAATTATGTCATTCAATGCAAATGATTAATTTCGTTCGATATTTATACATAACGAATTTAATTCATCGTGATATTCGTCCACCAAATGTGATGATTGGTCCTAATAAAATGTTAAGATTAATTGATTTTGGCTTTGCCTACAGATTTAAAGCGAATGAAACGGTACAAAATTTACCAATAGAAGGAACAACAACATTTGCTGGTATCGATTTCTTAACAGAATATTTAAATTTGATAGAAGATCCTCATGGAACTGTATGGTACAATTATGAACGAAATTTTGATTTATTTTGTGCAATTAATGTTATCACATATATGATAAATAAAGAGGTTAGATACGAGATGAATAAAATTCATGGTGCAATAACATGCGGCAATACGAAAGAATATGATGCCTTACAAATATGGATACGTATGCAACAACAGAATAAAACCTATGATGAGTTATTACAATCCATACGAAAGCTATCCAATGTATTAGATTTTGAAAATATTGAATCGATCTTAAGAAAAAATTCCAAGAATCTTCAAATGATTTCCAATCCAAATTATATTAACTGAAAGACAATAAAAAATAGATTTATGCATGAAACTTAGGTGAACTTTTTTGGTTATTTTTCTTGTGTTTGTAATTTCCTGTTTTTTTTTGGTTTATATTGAAGTTTATTTGATGAAAACTATGGATAAATTAATTAATAAATAAAAAATAATATTTCGTTACTTAATAGATGTGTTTTATATTCTAATTTTTCATAAAGAGTTTTTCTTTATTGTTTTATATAGATTGAAAAAGATAACTTATGTTAAAAATGAATATATTGAAAAAGAATCTGTAGATGAAAATGATATTTGATTTGATGAATAATATTTCTTATCGATTAAATCGTAGATTATTGAAATATAGAATAATAAATGAGATTCTAGTTGATGATATGAATATGATGTAATCAATAATCACCAGAGATTTTGTACAACTAGAAACAGACTAATTACAAACTCAAATTAAGAGTTTTTAATGGATTTAATTTTCAATTTTCATGAAAAGTCAATTTTTATAAAAAAAAAAAAAGAAATAAATGCGGAAACTTCGGATTTAAGTCCGAGAGTTATGTGTACTTCAAAAAGTGAATGAGACAAATCAGTCATCCTAGAATGCGTGGATATACAAATTAGCTTGGCAAACCTTTTCTATGAACACTTGAATTCTATTGACTACTGCTCAACCAATAGGATTTGGGGGCGAATACAGCCCAGATTTGACCTCTTCGCCTTAATTTACCCTCAGAAAGTCGTTTTTTCTGTAACTTGATTTCTATTGATCAGTGCTCAATCAATAGGGCTTCGAAACAAGTGAAGTGCAGATTCGAGTTCTCCACCCCAGAAAACCTTCAAGCATCATCTCTTGTCGGAAGATAGTGCTCTAATTGTGGATCAGTTAGAGCGTGGACAAGAACAACCGATTTCCGTTTATTTATCTTTGCAATAGGTGAGCTAGCCTTCTTGTTTCTTTATGTTTTATATACCATTTTGTAGCTAGTAAAATTCTCTATCGAATGGTATATAATAGTTGGGGTTTTGTTTGACTATGATAGGAAAAGTTTTTTATGAAAACAGAGAAGGGTCTATCTTCTCGTAGGGAAAAATGACTATTTTTGCAATAACTCAGCAACGGCTCGGCGAATCCTTCTCATCTTCGAACTCGACCGAGATATTGTTGAGACTAAAGTGTGTAGAAAATTTCATCGCAATCGGACTCTCCTTTCAAAAGTTATCGTGTAAACGGCCGGACGGCCACACTGACCGATTCTATAGTGTACTCACTTTTTGAGTACACAAAAAGGAAAAAACCCACTGTCTGCTGTACATTTTTTATAAACAAGTCATTCAAACTAAAATTTTTCATTTTTTTCCTTGCAAGATAAGAATTTTCATATATGTTCGGGTTATAGAAAAGCACAACAAATCAAAATAAAATAAAGATCGATTTCCTTGTAGGATCTACAGTAATCTAAAAATAAATTAAAATAGAATATATAAAAAAAATACTTACTGTTGATTAATGTACAGTGGCTACCAAAATTATTCGATCACCAGGTGGAATACTTTTGCTTTGTTTATATATTAAAAACTATATGAGCTATAGCAGTAGGATTTCCATCATTATATAAGTCTTAGTCTCTAATATACTCATGGAGACTTTCAGGTCGATTCATGCAGTTGTCCAATTTTTATTGGCAATACAATCATAAGATGTCATTTTTGATCCTTTTAAAATTATTCGACCACTTGTTTCTTTGCAATTTCTATACATGCATTCTAATATAAAAAGTTTTTCTTGAGACATCATTCGAAAGAACAAATAGTTCTATACATGATGAGCTACTTTTTGTTGAATTGGTATATAGAAAAAGGTCGAAAAAAGGCGTTTTGCAGTGTATGTGTTAGATCTTTGTGACGTAGAAGCTGTAGATAGACGATTTTTACTACTAATATTCTAGCGATTCGAGCGCATAATATACCATTAGAAAGAGTATTAAAAACTGTATTATATATGTTATTTAAATGAACACTATGCGGCAAAAAGTTGGGTTGAATAGTTGTGATCCCTATATCAAAAGGCCATAGCGCCCTATGTTTTGTTGTTATTTCCCGATAAA